TTTGTCACTGAGGTTATTTTCTCTATAAATTATTTTGATGTGTCAGAAGTGGTGTAATTTAGATTGTCCTATTGATTTGAAATTAGGGATGAGTGTTCAATCTAGCTGAGGCAAGTTGAGTTAAAAAATTTTGAGTTATTTGATTTGATGAGTCTTATTTTATGAATTGGAGTTTACTCTAGCCGAGCCGAGTTTATAAAATTTGAGTCCAGTAAAATTGAGTCATTTTTTCGAGTTTCTGTTTAAATTTTATTGTAAATATTTATAATATTATTTGATTCTAATTTAAGTGACTTTCTATAACCTATATGTAATATAAATATATTTCTTCATGTTTTTTCATATGCGATATACATGTCATATACAAAGTCGAATGACTCAACTCAAATTTGAAAATAAATTCACTAATTACTAAAATTTTTGAGTTATTCAAGATTTATTTTATAACTCGATTTGAACTTAAACATTTTTCGAGTCGAGTCGAGTTTATGAAATTGTAACTCAAAGTCAATTCGAGTCGAGTTTTTTTTAATTGAATCGTGTCCAAAAAAATCAATTTTTCAACTCGAGTTAGAATTTTACTCTATTTGAAACTATGCTTTGGATTTAGGCCCCCATTTTTTAGTGTCAAAAAGGAGAGTTGGAGCATACATACAAGTAGTTGCATCACATGGTTCCCCCCTTTTCTTCTTTCATTATCTCCAAAATCTTCATCTATTCCTGAGAAGCTTCAGCTCCCACAAAGTCACATCCACCTTTGGGGTAGACATGCTAAAGAGGTGTGGATTATCTGTTGAATTGTAAAGTTTTATTCCCATATTCAACTTTTCTAATAAATTATTAAACTCCTGATTTGACTAACATCTGTATTCGAATAATAGATTTTAATAATTTATTAAATATTAGTCGATTAATATGAACGCTGCAGTAAGCTTTATAAATTTATTTATCAGTTTAGTATCAAAATTCATTTTTAATGTTTGTTTGAATAATTTATTTCTAATTAAAAATCATTCAATGATAATTAACGGCAAAAGTGTCCAGATAACGTTATAGGGAGTGTTTAATTTTCAAACTGACGTGTTGATCCGATCAATTCCCTAAATGTGGTGTTCTCTACAGTAAATTTGGGATCTCTCGGCGTCTTCAGGGTTGAACCAGATTTTTTTGGCTTCTTGTTTGGGATTTCCCGACGTCTTCAAATGTCTTGTTTGGAATCTAGTCTTGAGGGTGTTGGATTGTTTATGGGGATCTCTAGGCGTCTTTAAGTTATCAAGGAAAACATTTGGCTTTTTTACACAAATATCACCTTAACATAAATTAATTATTTGTTAGATACTGTTTAAGAATATTTTACGGATATAGTAAATTTTTAAATACTTTCTATAAAAAATTTATAAATTTTATATAAGTTTACTCAGTATATAATTCACCTAAAATATCACTGGCACACCACTTAATGATGTTTCCATTGTAGTCCATTCTCTCTTCTTTTTACAATAATATTTTAACACCAAAAAGTATCGGTAAAAAATATATCGAAACTTTAGTATAATGTATGATAAAATATATAAGTTTTTAGTTTTGTACAACTTAATATTAAATTTCAATTTAATTTAATATTTATAAATCATTAAATCGTTATTGTCGTGCTATTATTTTATGGGTGTCTAGGGAAAAAATATCTCAAAATTATATACAACTTAAATTAAAATTAAATAAAAAATAGTTAACATATATTTTACATAAAATATATCGAGAAGTGTATTTTACACAAATTTAATGAAAACGAAAGTGTCTTTTATCATGAATCTCGTACGTTGTAAGATCGAAGTTTATAAGTTCATCCTAAAAGATGTGTATGTCTTGTGTTATATTTTAAAATAATATTTTTTTAAATATTATATAATTAAATAAATTTATAAAATATCAAAACTTTTCATATTATTTAAAATGGTATTCTTAAAATTTTGTTAGATCCGTAAAATATTCTTAAACAGTGCCTAACAAGTAATTATTTTATATTAAGGTGATATTTGTGTAAAAAAGCCAAAAAAATTTCTTGATTTCACTCAAAGACCGGTAGAGATCCCATAAACAATCCAACATCCTGAAGACACCGAAAATCCCAAATAAGACGTCGGGAAATCCCAAGCAAGACACACAAAAATCTGATTCAACCTTGAAGACGCCGAGAGATTCCAAATCTACTGTAGAAAATACCCCATTTAGAGTAATCGAATGAATACGTTAGTTTGGGAATTAAACACTCCCTGAAACGTTATCCGGGCACTTTACCGATAATTAACTAATGATAAGTGCTAATGTGACAATGTAATATATGTCATGAACTACTAGTGATTACATAATTTCCTTGTGCATCTCAATGATCGGGCTTAAGCCGTGAAGCTCGAATGGACTCGATGTCGAATAGTCTTAAAACGAGTCAAAGCAATGGCGGAACGTCATAAGGCTAGTGGGGAGCCATGCCCATATATATTATTAAATTTGGTCCCCTTAAAAAATATTTACTATACGATATTAAATTTTATTGCTCCAAAAAAATATAAATATTTTTTTAAATTTGGAAACCACTTAAATATTATTCATTAATAAAAGTTAGCATTTTTATTATTATTTTATTTTTAAATAAATAAAAATCAATTTTTATTTTTAATTTCAAGATAAAAAAATCTTTATACTATTCATGCTTGGTTGTTCATCTTTTTTAAGTTGAAAATTCAAACAAATTATCAAGTATTTTATTTCAGTTGAAAATATTTTTTTAAATATTTTTAAATATAATTTATATTTAGTGTTTTATTTCAAATATCTTTATTTATTATGCATATTCATGAATTTGCATCTCTAAAAATAAACACACATATATATATATATATATATATATATATATATATGTATGGGCATGATCTGCTTAAACTATATAAAACTAATAAATTTTACACCAATTTATAACTATTAGATTTAAATAAATAAATGGTTTATATTTAATTAAATTATATAACCCATAAATAAATATATTTTAACTCATAGTAAATAAGTATCTCTTTTAACTAAACTTCAAACCTTAAATGCTAAGCCCTAAATCTTAAACCCTAATCATAAAAAAAATATTGTTTTATTGTGAGTTAAAGAAATGTTTATTTATGTAATATAAATTATAATTAGATCAAAGTCATTTATTTATTTAAATCTAATACCTATAAATTGGTGTGAAACTTATAGTTTTATATAGTGTAACTGAATCATAATCCACCCACCCCACACACACATATATGAAAATATTTTAAAATGTCTCTAACTTGATTATATAAATATAAATATAAATATAATTTTAAAACTTTATTGATTGGATTTGTATATTATGTGAATTTATTATAAAATTAAATTAATATATTTTTATAATTGTAAGTTGTGTGATATCATCGGCAAACAAAAATATATAATCATAAAATTATTTCAGAGACACAACAAGAGAGGCATGATGACCTGCATAAAACCTAAAGAGCTTGATCATGTCTTCATCTTTTCTTACATTTTTTTCGTCAACCATGCTTCTCGGCACCTCCACTTCCTTAGGTGTTACTCATATATAGGGACGAACAAGATTTTATGATAGAGCCCGAACTTCTAAAATTAAAAAATATATATATAGAATCATAAAAATGATTAAAATAAAATTTTATTAATAATCTTATATTTTGAAAGGATAATTGTTCTTATTCATCCCTCCGTTCATCCATGTTCCTACCATGTAAAAAGAGACGCTTTTGCAAGCGCTTGAACTCACCCAGTTTCTCGAAATACGTCTTCCTCATATCACATACATCTCATTATCTTTCGCCGTACACCGTAGATAAAGGATTTGTCTCACCACTCGACACCATTTGGTGAATCAAATCGCTGACTTTGGTGATTCGCCTTCAACAGTAATATCTTAATTTTGTGATAGATCTATCATCGGCAACTTATCTCCCCAATTTTTTTCCCTTTCTAAATTATGATCGACGTAAGATTTATATCTTTTGAAATAAGAGTTAAAATAGATGGTCAAGAGTATTAGCCGTGACCAGACGGTGTTAACCGTACAAACTTGATACAATAAATTTATGTGATTGTAACCACGATTATAAAACTCAAGTGATCAATTAATTATAAATTAATGATATTAATAATTAAATTAATATCTTTAAAATATAATAGAAAAAAGTAATATTTATGTAATTTATCTAAAATAAAAAAGTGACAGAAACAAAAAGTCACTTCACAAGATCAAAGGTGCACGAAGTCCTGAAACTACAAATGATGCAAAATCAAGACCGACCAACTGAAGCCTCTGCTGCCCCACACCCCCACACACACTTTACCATCCTTAATCTACACTTATATTTACCTTGGATCTAATCTCTACCGTTCATTGAATCTCGTGATTGAGTTATTAATTTTCTGACGTTAATCCCACGGCTCAGAACTTCAACACTAAAATATGAACTTAAACGCGCGTGAAGATTCCCTCCCCCAACCTAACTCTCCTCTGACCAATGCCTCATAAAAGTGGAGAGTTCTACTTATTATAAGACTAATAAAAGATACGGTCTAAATTATTATAAAATAATATAATATTTTAAGTTATATGTAATTTAAAATGTTACAAAAAATTTATTTTTTTATTTAAAAATAAATTTTAGGTTGTAATTGAAAATATTAAAAAATATAATCTTTTATATTGAGCACAATATAAAATATTATGTTGTTTATAATATTTTAGATTATATTTTATAATATTTTAAATTATATTTTTCCTTAATCTTTTATTAGAATGTCGTACACAAACTATTCTATAAAAGGTAAAAAATAAAAAAGGAAAGAATATTATTTCTTACAAAATATGAATTTTATGACGTCAGGTATCCTTTGACCAATCCTCTCTCATCTTTAAACCCGCACCGTTCCCTCCCTCTTCGATCTCCCCACTTCTCTTTCTTCCACATACTCTGAAATTTTTATTTTTCTCTCGTTTTCTTTCTGTCCAAACAAGGAAAGGAGAAAACTTATATGGGAAGAAACGATTTGTGCATTACGGTCCCGAATATTTTTCGGTGTCCGATATCGTTGGACGTGATGAAATCCCCGGTGAGCTTGTGCACGGGAGTGACCTACGACCGAGCCAGCATCCAACAGTGGCTGGACAGCGGCAACAATACGTGTCCGGCAACCATGCAAGTTCTCTTAAGCAAGGAATTCGTCCCGAACAGGAATTTACAACGACTCATTCAGATCTGGTCCGACTCAGCCACTCGCCATCAACTGGAGGCCAATTCACCTGTTCCTTCTCACGATCATATCAATCTATTGGTCAAGCAGCTCGACAACGAAAATTTCGTTTCATCGTTGCAGAAGATCGTTTGGTTCGCGAGAGAATCGGAGGAGAACCGCGAATTCCTGGCCAGGATCGACGGTTTTGTGAACGCGGTGTTCGATTTCATGATAAATGTGGAACCGGATATCAAATTAATCGAACAAGTGGTTGAGATTTTGAATTTGATGTCTAGTAAAATTTTGGAGAAGAAGTCGTTATTGGAATCTGGTCCCTTGTCGATGATTCTTCTGGTTATACAAAGAGGAACTTTAGCTTCGCAAATCCATTCAATTGAATTACTGAAATCCATTGCGGTCGATGGGGAATCCAAACTCAAAATAGCCGAAGAAGAGGCGCTACTACATGAATTAGTAAAATCATTAAGCAGAGAGAAGGATCCAAGCTTGATCGATGCGAGCCTATCTTGTTTGATCGAAATCACGATGCGCAAAAGAGTAAAAATCAAAGTGATCCAATCCGGAGCAATCCCAGAACTAAAGAAACACCTATCCGAGCCAAACACGAGCGTTTCCATAATCGAGAAATCATTAAGACTGCTGGAAACGTTGTCGTCTTGCAGTGAAGGAAGGGTTGAGATATGGCACGATTCCATATTGCTACAAGCGATTGTGCAGACGGTGCTGAAAGTGTCGAACAAAGCGACGGAGCACGCGGTGACGATACTCTGGTGCGTCTGCTGCTTGTTCAGGGACGAGAAGGCGCAAGAAACGGCGGCTATTAGCAATGGGATGACCAAGTTTTTGTTGCTGATGCAAAGCAATTGCTCGGCTGCCGTTCGGCAAATGTCGGCGGATTTGCTTAAGATTTCCCGGGTTAATTCCAAGTCTTGTTTATCAAGTTATGATACTAAAACTACCCATATCATGCCCTTTTGATGAAGAAAGAAAAACAAAATCCGTTAGAAAAAAAAGGAAATTAATCTTTTGTTAGTGAAATATTAAAACAGAAAATTCATTCGAATGCTGCAGTGAACGAATCTGTTTGGTGTTTGTATCATGATGATTACACTGTTTTGGACTAGTGAAATTGTTTGATTCATTTCCTGCTCGCTTTTTTTCAGATGGTAAAAATTAAAAAAAAAATAAATTTTGATGTTTATTTTGAATATATAAGGTTGCGTTGGTTCACAGAATGTAAGATTACCGACGAGAATAGGATTATCGGCAGAAATAAGATTATTGGGAATGATGCATTGTTGTCTTTGGTTGTTTTGGTTAAAAGAATAAAATATTATTGGAATGTATATTTTATAAATTGTCCTTATTATATATTATTTTTTAACAAATTGAATTCTACTATAACTTTATTATACTTAATTTATCAATTTTCTTTAAAAATTTAAATTCATAAAATTTATATAATTTTTTTACAAAGTTGAAAAAGATAAATAGGTTTAATGAAAGGGTAAAATTTATTTTAACCCATGAACTTCATATAAAATTCTAATTATGAATTATTTTTTTGTAAATCTAAAATAGTTTAAGGATAAATTTGTTTTTTAACATTCGTAAAAAAATTTTATTCAACGACAAGAGAATGATATTTTTTTAAAAAGTTAAAGGTATTTTAGTCTAAAACGTCGGGAATGTAACAATACCTAAAAGAATGAGTAATTACATTCCCGATAATATACCCTCAAAATACTACTGTTGGGAATAACTTATTACCGGAGGTTGAGAATGTTTGTCAAACAAACGGGGAAATAACATTTCATTTCTCCCGCTAATCCAATATGACCTGAACCAAACGCCCCTAAGAAGATATTGCGTGTGGCCATCTACCAAGAACCCAAGGCCTAGAAGGAAAGGAATGTGAGTTTACTTGTGAAAGTAAAAGAAAGCAAAGAATCCAGGCAAGGAGGGATTAGAGGCAAAGAACTTTGACAAACAGAAAGGCCAGGCGTTCGGGAAGCGGCTGGGCTTAATCACAGAGGAAGCAACAACAAGAGGACAAAGTGTCCGCAATTGCTGAAATGGAGTCTGCTTTGCTGACTGTAATCTCAACACCCAACCTTTAATTAACATAAAAACAATCAGTTTTCCCATTGAAAAGGATGTGGAATCCCAAATCTGAAAAGAGAAATTTGTTTATAATTCAGGTATGAGGGAGATGATTTGACCCACTTTATTATAATCTTAAACAAATACATATGAGAGGCGAGGAAAGAGAGGTGTTGAATGCACTGAAACGCTAAATCTACGGAAATTCTAGGATACGATAATATAATATACGATTAAATTTTTTTATCAGTTTTATTATTATTTTAAATAATAAAACCGATAAAAAAATGATCGAAAATATTATTATTTCTATCGATTTTATTATTATTATTAATTATTGATATAGTAAATACGGTAGAAAAATCGGTCAAAAAAATAATATTTTCGGTAAAGCGTTACCTAAAACATTATTTTTTGAGCGAATTTTTTACGTATTTACCTATATCGGTAGTTAAAACCGGTAAAAATAATAATATTTTCGGTCATTTTTTACCGGTTTTATTATTTAAAATAATAACAAAATGATAGCGCCTTATTTTAATCGTATATTAAGGCGTCTCAGTGAGCATTTCCCCTAAATCTAACCAAAAGAACTGTAAACAATGGCCGATTGATTCAAAAGTTGGGAGGGAGGGAGGGAGGGATTTGGTTCTTTTCCCACCCCCTTTTTTCTTATGGGGTTCGCCATTATTCGTATATTTTATTGGATTTTCGTATCTTACGATTGAGATTTTATTAGTATAGAACTTCCATGAGATATGTCTATGTTTGATTCCTTTAATGTTTGAAATTTCATAGCCAGATTTAGGACAGCAGATCGACCTATGCTTCGGGGTGGACACTTAAATTTTAATTTCTTCTTTCAATAATTATATTTATCTTAAAATTTTAATTTATATTAATATGCATAAAAAATTACATCATTAATAAATGCGTGTCCATCCTAAAAAATATTTTACGTGCTTGATAATCACAGTACATAGAAGCAATGGTATGAATCAGAAGCATCGGTTATATTTCTCTTGAACCTTAATTAAATTGATATTGAAAAGATAATATATTTATGTGTAGAAGCAATAAAAGGAATCACTCTATGTCTCATTTGTAAGATTTTAGTTTCTAATTTTCATTCAAATACTCAATTCAACTCTCTTAAACCAACACTTGGCGCTTTAATGCTTTTCTTTGTTTGAAAGCAATTTAGGGTAAGTTTGGTTATGGGAAATATAGTTTTTTTTTATTTTCTTAGAAAATAAAAATATTAGAGAAAATGGGTTCGGTTGTAAAATTAAAAGATGATTTCTAGAAAATGAAACAAAAATAATTGAAAAATATGAAAACATAAAAAATATGTTTTCAGTATTTTCATTAAAATTATTTTGAAAATTTGAAAAACGAGAAAACATGGGATCTTGGTTTTTAATTTAACTTACATGAATTCAAATCATTCTAACAATAATTTTTTGGCTTAATGGTTCCTAAAACTTTCAAACTTTTCTAAAAATTCATTATGGTCACTAAACTTTTTTATACTCAATGTGATCTTGAACTAACTTTTTAACTAATTTAATTTTGTAGTATTTTAATATTTAATACATTGAATATCTTAATAATTATTTATATTTTATATTTATTTTTAATTTTTATAAAAAATAAATAAGTGATAGGGAAGCGGTGGCGGATTGATGAACGTTGCTCTTGTTGAAGAATAAAACCTAGAAAAAGATCTAGACTCAATGAAGAACAATAAGGGATGAATGGGGAAGGTGGCGGTAATAACTAAGGTTCTTTAGGGTTTCTTTTTGGTGCTGGAAAGAAGGTAAGAAACAAGATTAGAACAAGATAAATAAAATATAAAAGAATTGAAAATAAAAAAAATAACCAAGAAATCAAAAGATCTCCCTTATGAAAGTGAACGGTAAAGATGATTGATGGCGTGGATGGATATGTGGAAAATTGATGGATAATGTCCTATCGAGCCCTCCTAGTCGCAATGAAAAGGCAAACACGATAATATGGCTCTAACCAACCCTCCTAGTCGCAATGAAAAGGCAAATTGGAGTGTGAAGATTAATCTCCCTCACAAGAACTTGAAAGAACTCCAGGAGAAGAAGCTTCGAAGGCACAAGGCAATCAACACTTGCAAAAACAAACTCTCGTTGTATTATTGATCAAAGATATCTTCTTTTCCAATGCTTGGACGAGTGGATCATTTGGAAGAGTTATTACTTCTTCCTTTGATGTGAGCCTTGTGATGCATGTATCATCCTCCCTTTCTTCAAAAAGATTCGACCTCGAATCTGAAACATTAAAGGGAGAAACATTAGAATCGTTTAATGATTCATTCACATTATACTTACCGAATAGATATGCTTTGAATCTTCGAGACTTTGTTCTTCTAATAGGTTCGAGTAGAAACATTAGTCCAAAGAAGCATGTATTATGGACTCTGGTGCATGTATCATTCCCCCACTCCTAAAAAGGATTCGTCCTAGAATCTGAAAATCCAAGAGAAAGAGACTTAGATATGTTGAAAGGAAAACTTGTGAAACATTTACCAGGATCAATGTGATGTGTCTTTATGCGTTTCAGTCGAGGTTTCTTCTTTGTAGGAACTGATTTCTTGTAGTCTTGAAATCTTCTTTTGCATACAAGTCTTGTAATATGATGTTTAGGTTGAAATTCAACATGGTGTCGACCACTGTTTGCTTTCTGTATGATTTCTTCAGATAATTTCTCCATGGTTTTATTCGTGTATGGTGAGAATGAGTGTTTAAAAACCATGTCAACTGGTTTGTTAAAGTAATCCCTTAAGTCTCCTAAGTGTGGTTCATGAATTAATAATTCTCGACAGGAGATTTGTGGATTGTAAAACCTATTTAGTTGGCAAGGAAACTCATATACAAGATAAAACTCATTAAAAGTACTTTTAAAAGTATGGGTAGAAATATCAGAAATATCCGAGTTATCGTGATATACATTTTTTATATGTTCAATTCTTGGAATAGTAGCATGCTTAAGAGTATACCTTCGTGGTAGTGCATCGTCTAATGTGTTTTGCTTACCTCGGTCAGCTACGCACTTAAAGGATTTGTGTTTAGTATGGATGATAACTTCACGAGCCTTACCTTGTAAGAAGAGAATAAGTATGTTACAATGTCATAAAATGAGTAATAAAATACTTACCTTTGGACTCCCGTAAATCATGACTCTTCATTGATATGGCATAGTGATTAGGGTTTTCAGGTGGTAACCCGTCAGGAGGCTCACCTAATATTATTCGACAACTCTTGGCTATGGAAGATGGTGTGGGCCAGTCTCGTGTTGCATTTACTATTTCATCATTTATTTGGATTTCCTATGCACGAACTATAAAGCCTGTAGAGTTGTTCAAATCATGTTTCGTCATTAAGATGGCGTTACGACTAAGGCTTTCCTGGATGTAGCCTTTTTGTAACAAATCCAACTCTTTGGTTTCTTCGAGATTGTATGTTTGACGAGGTATGATGGAACCTTGAATTAGATTGGTTTGGTGTTGTTTTCTCTTTTTAGTGGTAGTTCGTTAGGTAGATCACCTAACACTTCTCGAAAATCCTGTAAAAGAGATGAAAACACACTAGGCAAATCCTTGTTAATGTTAGAAATCGAAACAATTGATTTCCTAAAGTGAACAAGGATGCAAGGTTGTTTGTAAAGAAGGTTCTCTCTTAATTGTTTTATGCTCACACATAGATTTTGAGTCATTATTTTCTTCTCACATTTAGGTTCACTCACCTCCCATGGGTCATTATTCTTTTGGCTTTTATAACTAGTGACCTCTTTTGCTTTTGCCTCTTTCTAAACTTTTTCTTTTTTTGCTTTCCGTACCTCCTCACAAATTATCATTTGATCTTTAAGGACTGGAAGTGTGTCATTCTTTGCTGGTCGTTCTTTCTCCTTGTCAGGTTTGTCATCTCTTGGCT